AGTTTGCCATCTTATATGAAAAGGAGAGATGCTCAATCCATTGGTTTTCAGCCAGTCTTCATAAGAATGTTTAAAATACGCAGATGACTAAGAGAAAGAAAAGTTCAGCATCACTCAAATTTGAAGAACACATTTATAACATAAGTAAAGAACTAAATAAAGGTTAAAACAGAAAGAAAATAAGTACTTTGTATACGAAACCAAGATGTTAGTGGCTCAACAACACTGATTCTCAACCTTACTAATGCCGAGACCCTTTAACACAGCTCCTCGTGTTGTGGTGACCCCCAACATTAAAATTATTTTTTGTTGCTACTTCATAACTGTAATTTTGCTACTGTTATGAATCATAATATAAATATTTGTGTTTTCCGATGGTCTTAGGTGACATGAAGAGAGGGCCATTTGATTCCCCTCAAAGGGGTCTCAACCCATAGGTTGAGAAACCACGGGTTAATATTTTTTTAGATAGTTTCACAAAACTCAGGCTGGCCTCATTTCCATGTAGTCAAGGACAACCTGGAATTTCTGATCCTCTTGACTCCACCTCTCAAATACAGAGATTACAGGCATTTGACAAGTCTGGTTTAAGTAGTGCTGAGAGCAAACCTAGGAATTCATGCATGCTAGGCAAGCACTCCACAAACTGACCTACAATCCCAGCCTGAAATGTACATAATCTTAAAGCTTTACATTTACGCTTCAAAGTATCAAAGGTCCAGATTAACTGGGTAGCTGGGTTAGGGTCCAGGGAAATACAGTCCAAAAGCGAAATCTGGTTTATAGCCTACAATATAAGAATGGTTTTAAAATTTTAAGGGATTTTAAAAAAACAAAAAACCGCCGGGTGGTGGTGGCGCATGTCTTTAATTCCAGCACTTAGGAGGCAGAGGCAGGTGGATCTCTGTGAGTTCGAGACCAGCCTGGTCTACAAGAGCTAGTTCCAGGACAGGCTCCAAAACCACAGAGAAACCCTGTCTCGAAAAACCAAAAAAACAAAAACAAACAAACAAACAAAAAAAACAACTGCTGGGGCTGTGGTTCTGTTAGTTACTTGTCTAGGTACTATGATAGAGGGCAGTTTTAAGAAGGGTTTAATTTGACTCACAGCTCCAGAGTATAGCCCATCACGGAGCAGAAACTCTGGTGGCTGGAGCTTGGAGAGGTTGGTGGTGGAGGCAGCTAGTCACATTACATCCACAGTCGGGAGGCAGAGGGAGCTGAGAGCTTACACTTAGGTGCTTTCTCCTTTTCAGTCCAGTCCAGGAACCCACCTCATGGGAACCCACATTTAGGGTTGGCTTTTTTCCCTTAATTATCCTAATCAAGAAAATCCCTTCAGGGATTTGTTTCTGTGGTGACTCTAAATCCCACTAAATTTACCATCAAAAGTGGCCAGCACAGTGGTGTGCCAGTAATCCCACCACTTCCCTTTAGAAGGAAAGGCAGAAGTATCTCTACAAGTTCACAGCCAGGGTAGTTGACTTCGTGAGTTCCAGGCCAGCCACATGCACACAGAAGAATGCTGTCTCAACCCTATCTCCTCCAAACAGACAATAAAACCCAAGAATAATTAACAGAGACTCCATGAACCATAAAGCTTAAGATACTTACTAATTCAGCCCTTAAAAAACCCCCCCGACCTTGCCAGGCAGTGGTAGCACACAACTTTACTCCTAGTACAGTGGAGGCGGAGGCAGGTGGATCTCTGTGAGTTCAAGGTCAGCCTGGTCTACAGTCGAGTTCCAGGTTGAGCTACAGAGAGAAATCCTGTCTCAGGGTGGGGGTGGGGGGCAAACTTGACCCCTGCTTAGAACAATGAAGTACATAGAAATATGTAAGTCAAAAACGCAAGCCACATATAATTTTAAACAGTCTAGTAGCCAGATTTTAAGATGGGGAGATTCATTTTCATGGATTTGTAATCTATAATAGCCAAGTTATCATTTTAATGTGTAAGCATTTTAAGAACACTGAGACACTTGTTTCTAGTATTCTCTGAAATGTGGCATCCAGTCATACTCATAGCACGTCTCCATTCAGAAAAGCTTTTTCAAATGCTAGGTAGCCACACACAGCTAAGAACTACCACAGTGGACAGCACAGGTTATTCTACCTCCACACAAAGGAAACAAGTCTTTCGAGATCGTTTTTAGACTTCCAGTGGCTTCAACAGAAGACTTCGCTTAGTAGGAATCAGTATTTTCTATTTTCATCTAAGCAAGCTTCAAGTTAAACCACTTTTGGACAAATGAAAGTACAAAATTTACCTACTCTCCTCTCAATCTCCACAGCAGCTCTTAAATTTCCCCAGGGGTTCCAGTGCTAGCTGCTTACAAACAGTCTCAAGGGTCTTATCTGTTTGAAAGCTTGACTAAAGGTAGATCTATAAATACCAAGGCAGTTACAGAAAGCCCCGGAAGTACTGTCATCTGTATGAAAAATGCATTTGTCCTACAAGGCTATGCCAGCTCTTTTTCCCATCATAAAGATTGACCTGAGTCTGAACGCCAGGTCTCTACTGTCTTCTGACACCATTTTAAGTCTGCTTGTTTCCTAGGACGTGACAAGGAGATTGGCACACCCGTGCAGCAGCAGTCTCCCGTGGAAAGCTAGAAAAGTCAAAGGCAGAACAGAAGACCAAGAGAAGGTGAATGCTCTTTAAAAAAAAGGCAAGGTCTCGGACACCGGAAAGATGACTTAGCCCATAAAGCAGTGGCTGCTCTTCCAGAGGACCCAGATTCAAATTCTAGTACCCAGCCGTAACTCCAGTTCCAGGGGACCTTACCATCTCCTCTGGCCACCAAGGGCAACGAATGCATGCAGTGTACATACAAGCAGACAAAACAGTCATAGTCACCTTTTTGAAACGTAAGGTCTCTCCATTCCCCGGACACTGCGCAGGGTGCCATTGCTCCGGGGTTGACGCTTTCAGGAAGATAGAGGATGCCCCAGAAATTAAAGCCACATCCTCATCACCCACTTACTTGTCCAGGGACACACTGCACAAGTCTGATGAGTTCCTTTTATTTAGGGATTCTTTCCACACATGAAGCGAGAAGAAATCACATGGCTTTTTTTTTAACCTAATTAGCAAATTACTGCGGCCTGTGCTGCTAAGCACTACGCCCAATCCACTGCGTCAATGGTGCCCAAACAAATGTGCAGGGGGATGTTGGTAAGCGGCAGACTCCAACTGTACAGGGCTGTGGTGAGACCTGAGAGGCTGGCACTCTAACAAGTGCCAGATCATCCAAGTGTTACTGGTCGTTGGCC